AGAACACCATCTCCTTTCACTGAAGAGGGCTGCAATAAGGATTAAACTCTTGAGTCTTTCCCTGACAGGGACACTTTCCTTAAGGGGAATGCTTTTGCCTTAGCAATTCAGGCAACATTTTGTGGTAGTACTGGGAATATGAGCAGTGAGATCGACTCATAGAGAAAATAGGTAGGGCATACTTCTGGTTTCAGGGTATAACCACTTAATCAAATTAAGAACTCATGGCTAGCAGGGGACCTCTGCAAACTAAGAGAAATAGGATTCAAGGTAGGTTTCAAAAGGAAGCCCAGAATTTACACAGCAGCTCGATTTTTGTGTTTTTACTTTAAAAGGTCCAGAATTCAAGCAATAGAATAGTACCTATGAGAATTCTGTTTGTCTACCAGCCATTGAGGGAAACTACTTTTTTAGTGATGGCAGTCCGGTTCTGTTGAGAAAACACAAAGTATGCAATCATCAGATTAATAATTTACGAGTTTGGTATACTGGCCACAAATAACCTGTGTGACCATGGACAAACCACTTAACTCTCAATGCCCCCAAACAATGCTTCAAAACCAGGTTGTGGATGAATGAGCTCTTAATTAGTTGAAATAGCTTCTACATAGACAAAATCAGAGAGCTGGACCAATATGTACACTATGAAATACACGCATTTATTTCAAGATGGGGGAGAGAGAGAAATATGAGAGAAATAAGGGAAGAAGGGAAAGAGGGAAATTGCAAGCTGAGGGAGTTGCAAGGAATGAGAGAAAGGGGAAGAGGAAAAAGGATGTGTACAAGTAGAGGGAAGAAGGGATAATTTTATTCTTGTATTTCTATCATGTAACATTTAGAGTCTTAAGAACTCCTGATTTTGTTCCCATATTCTTGAATTATGAGAAAATTAAATCCTACCACTGGATTCCAGAACATCAAAACCCTGGCTTTCTGGAATAAATAATGCTGAGAGATTCTTTTGGTTCTTAAGGGAAGTGATCATATAAACCCTTAGAATCTTTGCATTGGAACAAGGGCCCAAGCTATTAAATTTAACAAATATGCCATAGCCTAAAGTCAGAAAGAGTGTTGAAATTGGATTCAGAGTCCGTGGGTTCAAATCCCTACTTTGCTACCCCCAGCATCCAGAATGGATTTAATGTTTTGGTACTCTCTGTCTTGAGAGTCTCCCTTTCCTGGGAACATTCCCCAGATCGCAAGTCTGTGTGCATTGTTAGAGTATTTACAGAAGAAGAAGAAGAAGAAGAAGAAGAAGAAGAAGAAGAAGAAGAAGAAGAAGAAGAAGAAGAAGAAGAAGAAGAAGAAGAAGAAGAAGAAGAAGAGAGGAGAAGAAGTAGAAGAAGGAGGAGGAGGAGGAAGAGGAAGAGGAGGAGGAGGAAGAAAAAGAAGAAAGAAGGAAAGAAAGAAAGGAAGGAAGGGAGAGAGAGAGAAAGAGAGAGAGAGAGAGAGAGAGAGAGAGAGAGAGAGAGAGAGAGAGAGACAGACAGACAGACAGACAGACAGAAAGAAAGAAAGAAAGAAAGAAAGAAAGAAAGAAAGAAAGAAAGAAAGAAGGAAATGTGAGCTGGGGCAAATTATTTGACCTCTCCAGGCTTCAATTTCCTCATTTAAAAAAAAATGCCTTGGATTAAATGATTCCTAAGGCATTTTCCATTTCTAAAGCTATGATCTTATGAACCCATCTATTGCATGCGACTCCTCACCCACTAAAAAAGCATCATGGACTAGTTAGAAGAACACTGGACTGGGACAGAGGGGTGTTAGATTCTAATCCCGGCTCTGCCTTTAAGTTGCTTTGTAATTTTCATAGGATTGAAAATGATCTTGGAGGTCATCTCATCCAACTCTCTCTCTTTTATAAATAAGTAAATAGAGCTTCTAGACAAAATGGAATTTGCTCAAGGGATAACAAAGGCAATTGTTTGACCTCCAAGTCTCAATCTCTGGTTCTTGAAGTGAGGGAATTTGAATTATTTCTAAGGTTCTTACAACCCTGAAATTATATCTTTAATTTCTTTCATAGAAGGACAACTTAATTGTGCCATTGGCTTTTCTATGCTTCGACTGCTCAACATGCCACAGGTACAAGAACTCTGAGAATCTACAATGGTTTCTAAGGTTATTAGAATACTAGTTAATTTTTTTTTCAGGCAGAGTCACGTGGGGAATAGAGAATGTGGATAACTTAGATTCTAGTGCCACTTCTTTTTTTTTCTTTTTTTTAAATTAATTTATTTTGATTTATCAACAATCACTTCCATAAGCTTTTGAGTTTTAAATTTTTCTCCCCCTCCCTCCCCTTTCCCTCCCCAAGACACTGTGCAATCTCATATAGGCTATATGTATTCCTGTAAGGGAGAATTAGAACCAATAGCAGGAACCAACAGAAAGAGGAAACAAAACAAAAGAGAAAAAAAAAGAGCAAATATTATGCTTTGATCTGCATTCAAACTCCATAGTTCCTTCTTTGGATGTGGATAGCATTTTCCATCATGAAACTTTTGGAGATGAATTAGATCCTTGCATTGCTAAGAAAGTCTATCAATGTTAGCTGTTGCACAACATGGCTGTTATTATGTACAATGTTCTCCCAGTTCTGATCATTTCCCTCAGCATCACTCCATACAAATCTTTCCAAATTTTTCTGAAGTCCACTTGCTCATCATTTCTTATAGCAAAATAGTATTCCATTACATTCATATACCACAACTTACTCAGCCATTCCCCAATTGATTGGCATTCCCTCAATTTCCAATTCTTTGCCACCACAAAAAGAGCTGCTATAAATATTTTTGTACATGTGGGTCCTTTTCCCATTTGTATGATCTCTTTGGGATACAGCCCTAGAAGTGCTACTGCTGGGTCAAAATGCATGTACATTTTTATAGCCATTTGGGCATAGTTCCAAATTGCTCTCCAAAATGGTTGGATCATTTCACAACTCCACCAACAATGCATTAGTGTTCCAATTTTCCCACATTTTCTCCAACATTTATCATTTTTCTGTTTTGTCATGTTGGACAATCTGATAGGTGTGATGTGGTAGCTCAGAGTTGTTTTGATTTGCATTTCTCTAATCAATAGTGATTCAGAGCATTTTTTTATATGATTATAGATGGCTTTAATTTCTTCATCTTTGACCATTTATCAATTGAGGAATGTCAAATCCCACTTCTGATACACATTGGTGCAGTATAATCCCAGGGCAATTCATTTAACCTCTTAGTGCCTCAGGCAAGCACTCTTAAATTATAATTTGCAAGGAAGGTGCTGATCCTGATCTGTAGAGGAGGTTTCTTCATCTGGGAGTTCCCTATACCATTGAAATCAATGGTCTAGTCCCTGCCCCTATGCAGTATTTTGTAATATAATATCACATGGCCTGAAACAATTGATGCACCGCCTAACATTGCATAGCTTCCATAACATATTGCTCACTGAGGCACTCTAGCATTATTACTTAAGTCAAAATGGGAAGATTAATATTTAAATGAGATCCCTAATCTAACTCAAAACTTTGGTAGAATGAAAGCAACCAAATAGAAATCACATCTTTTGACAAAAAAAGGAAAGCAGTTTCTTTTTCTTGATACTGCCCTTATCATTGAATCATTCTTATTATTTTCTTTTAATTTGAAGTCTCCCTGTTGCACTCAAGGTGGACATGTGATGCCCATTCACAAACTCAATACCACTGTTGTTCAGTGTCGAAATTTGGTCCTGCTCTATTCCTAGCCTGTGCCAGTCTGACCATCTGTTAGATACCCTAATTGTTTCCCACTCTTAAGGGCTCACCATACTGGTGTTAGCTAATATTAATAGCCAATCAGCTTTAGTTCTAGAACAACTCTGAACTCATAAGCTCAATAAATCAAACAGCCTTAGCTTACTTACTTGTAGAGATTATGAATGTGGGCCACCTTCCCAAGCACTTATGATTGATTTCAAAAGAGCCCTTGGGTTTTGAGAAACTTTCTTTTCAATAGATGAATCCCTAGAATATGTCCACATATGCTGTGATTAACAGCTTAGAAGAAAATAAGTTTGTCCTACAAATGGAGCAGTGCCTACAAATGAAAAATTAGTGCAGAGGTGAAAAAGACTGACTCACAGATGAGAGCAAAGTTTGCTGTATCTCCCCTAGAGGCTTAATACCTATTCCCACACAACCATGGATAATAAAGAAGATGATGTGTCTCTCCCTTAGGCAAGTGGGGAACTAGAGCACTTGTTTAAGCCTACCTATGGCTTGAGGGGCCTAAGTTACAAGATTTTCAAAGGGACCAGTCTTCTACAATCCCATTTATCAGTATGAGAAATGGAGCTGACCATGGTAGGAGAAGACAATGCTTTAAAATATAAGGGATATGCACAATCTCAGCATGAGATAAAGCACCAAGGAAGGTAGGGCTACACTCTTTTTTTGCCATCCTTTGTCTCCCTCATTCCTCCTCCTCTTCCATCCCTTCTCTTTTCTGTCTCTCTCCCTCAGTCTCTTTGTTTCTATCTCTTTCTGCTTTTGTCTCTATATCAGTCTATCTCTGAGTGTCAATTTCTCTGTCTCTACCTCTCTGTGTTACCATATTACTATCTATCTCTGTTACTGACTCTGGTGTATCTCTGTTTTCGTATCTCTCTCTGTCTTTGTATCTCTCTGTGTCTGTGTCTGTGTCTGTCTTTGTTTCTGTGTCTGTTTCTGTCTGTCAGTCTGTCTCTGTCTGTCTCTGTTTCTCTCTATCTCTCCCTGTCTCTATGTCTCTCTGTCTCTGTCTGTCTCTGTCTCTCTCTCTGTCTCTCTCTCTGTCTCTCTCTCTGTCTCTCTCTGTCTCTCTCTGTCTCTCTCTGTCTCTCTCTCTCTCTCTCTCTCTCTCTCTCTCTCTCTCTCTCTCTCTCTCTCTCTCTCTCTCTCCCTAATAGCAGCAGCAGCAGCGGCGACAGATGCCCATAGAGCTCCTCCTCACCCCTAGAAGACGGAAGGAAATGGAATTCTGGAGCTGAGCACCGGTGAATCTCTGGCCCTCCAGACCTGGGGAAAGGAGCCGAACGAGCTCTTCATTGGATACAAGGTCAGCCAATGGAAAAGATGCCGGCGCTGAAGAAGGAGCTCTGCCTTCCACTCCTGCTCTGCCTCCCTCTCTCCTGCCACCTCTAAGAATGTGTGAGAGGATGGGAGGGGTTGGGAGGGAGCAAGAGAGAGTGCTGCATCCTTCACTGCTAGATAAAAGTAAGAGGGACTTTGGGTCCGGATCAGTGCCGGAGTGCACTCAAAGTGGAGCTGGTGACAATAGCAGCAGCAGCATTCCCTCGCCGCCTGGGGCTTTGCACTTCTGGAGGGAGCAATCCTACTGAGAAGCTCTGGCTGCTCCTACCCCCTTCCTCACATTTTTATTCTCTTTGTGCACCTCCTGGAGTCACCTTCTCCTTAGCAGCTACTGCATGGGTAAGGGACGTTCGCATTCCTGGGGAAGGAGGGGAAACGCAGTTCGCAGCACCCACCCACAGGGCTGAGCTTCAGGCTGCTGGTCCCTTTTTGTAGACCAGATTGCAACAGCCGCTGAGAGGCTGGCCAAAGACACCCTGTCCTGTGTCTAGAAGAGCTAGTTGCAGCAGGTCGAGGGTGCGCCGGAGCAAAAACATGTTCGCCGAGAGCATCCTCCAGAGGTAATAGAATGGGAAGTATCATTACTATTATTTTTTTCTTCTCAGTGACCACCAGACTGGGAAGGATTTGGGCTACTTGCTAACCCCAGAGTATGGTACGCTCTTAAGCACGGAGAAGCAATGTTGGTGTTGCGTGCGATCTGGAAATCCCGGAACGCATACTTGCTGTTTAACTAAGCTTCCCTCTCTCTCGGTTTGAAATAAGTTTATTTAGACTACTAGCAATAACGTCCTGGGATAACTGACTCTTGGTTTGTAAATATGATTTTGAAAGGTTTTTTGTTGTTCCTTTTGGCAGGCTGTGATTGTATTTATTTATGCATATTTATTAACCCTCTAACGTCTCGTCTGCTAGGAAATACTGGCATTTAAAATATTCTTAAAAGACCCATTACAAGTTCATTGTAGCATTCGGAAGTCCTGTTATTTATCACCTTAGTTAGCATCTGTCTTCTGAGTGTGGGACTGGAGCTGGCCTTAGGAAAGAGTTTTGTCTGTGACACTCTTGCCCTCTAGTGTCTTCTAGGCTGATAGCAGGTTGATGGCCGATTTTACTCAAATGTTGCATAACAGAGGAACAATAATGATACTACGAACACAAACGCCCAGTACCCAAAGACCATTTCTAGAAAGCACAATCCTAGGTCATTCGAAGTTTTGGTTTCTCTTCTGTCCAGTGTTTAAAAGTTTGTCAGATCTTTTCGGTTTTGGAACCTTCTCCAAGGTGAGTGTGTTTACTTGAGTATCTTCCTGAATTTAGTTAATTAGTGAGTGACATCTATCTGATGGCTTCCACAGACTTGTAGGAGTTTATGAATAGACAAAAGACATGATGAAATGGTTACTCTTCGTTTTCCCAAGGTTTCATCAGTCAGACAGGAATTACATTACATCAAATGACTACTTTAGATCTCTTAGATTGATTAGTAGAAAAAACAACTATTAAAATTAAATTAAGTTCAACAAAGAAATCTTTAGTCAGTACTCTAAGGCACTTAACAACCCCAAACCTGCAGAATTAAGCATATGAGTTGACTCATGTCAGATCTCCCAAATTGGCAATTCATTTTTATTTGTGAAACAAATATGAAATACTGATTATATGTACAGTAGATAAGGAACACCAGAAATTTAAAATACAAGTTATAAAGGAAATAATGATTCACAGCCATGGCTTTCTATTTGATTCCATTTATATTTATCATTATTGCTAAAAAGAAAGTGAAAATAATTTAATATGATATACAACTTGTTAGAAAAATACAGTATAAAAGACAAACATATTTAGGATTAAAGGAACAATTGGTCCACTGCAATTTATTTGTTGCTTATTTGGACCAACTCTCTTTCTAGAAAAATCACATTTTTCTTAATCTTTCCAATCTAATAGATCCTCAAATACATTCAAATATGATATGTTAACTGCTTTTTTTTATATAAATGATTGTGGTCTGGTAACATGTGGTGATTGGCAAGAACATTTCCTAAATAGTTTTAACTGCTCTTTTCTTCACATTGAATTTAAGTGTACCTCCTTAAATCCTGAGTCACATTTGAAACTGATATCAGATATTTGGGAACTGTTTTTTCTACCTTTCAAAAATGTTCCTGTTATCAATTATAAAGTGCACTGACACAAAAGGTATACATATTTAGCTAAAGGACATTTTACTTCCATCATCATTCTTTTTAGTGTCATAATTTGAAAAAGGACTTTCTAGAATTTGAAAGAAATTTATTTTTTAATATCAAATCATACCAAGAGTTGTGAGTTATAGTCACTTTAAAAAATCCATAATTTTTAGTGCTAATGTAGCTTCTCTAGGATACTACTTTTTTTGTCTTAATGGCAAAAGTGAAATGTTTTTGATTTATTCTGAGCTAAAGTTGCATCCTTATAATTTGTAATGTGATATATTCTTCGTGCTTAGAAAGAGGCCTAACATTGACAATATGTACAGAAAGAATGAGAACTTTTATCTTTTTCTAAAGACACATTTTAGTTTTGTTGGTTGCCTTTGCTATGATGTAGGTTACTCACTTCAGATAATTTTACCCCCTGAAAAGAACAGCATTTCTTATTTTCACAGATAATTTCACAGTGAGTTTGGTGGGGCTCAAAGGTTTGATAACAAGACAATAGAAGAGAACCATAATCTTCACAGATGGCATTTAGGATTATTTTCCCCATGCTGATTCTTCCAGGAAGCCAAATATTGAGTACTTAATTCAAAAAAATAGTTTTATTTCTGACTCTAAGATGCAAAGATCTATGTTATGAGATATATTATTCAGAAAATCTCTTATGACTTTTTAGCACTTTTGTTGAATCTCAGCAGCATTTTGCAACTTTGGGCCAATTTTTTTTTCTTTGAAAATCCATATGTAAGTATATAAATATATATTCAAAGGAAATTCATCTATTTTTATGCTTTAAGATGTTTGCATATATTAAAGATAAGGATTAGAAGAGAGAAGAATAAGATGTATTATCCCCTACTTACTAATGCTACATGGAGAATTCTAATCAGAAAAAAAAGTGTATCTTTAATTAGGACTCTCTACAGTTTCTCCTATTAAGAACGGGGATGGATGGTCCTTAAGACTTTAACATTAGAACTTGGGTTTTGGCAGCATCAACTCAAATTGATGGCAAACTACAATGCAACAGGAATGTTTCTATCTACTGTGCTATAATGTTACTTATCAGAACATTCTTAAAAAATTGAATGATCCTGAAGGACATCTAAGAAATAACCAAGAATTGCTTACAGATTTTAGAAAGAAAGAAAGAAAAGAAAGAAAGAAAGAAAATAGTTCTGAGCTGTAGCAGTTACTATATATCACATTAAGTGATTTGTCTTTCTCCTCTAAGTTCCATGATATTTCTATGGATTTCTATAAAAGGTGGATATAACTAAGAGAAGGTGGAAAGGCCCCATTACCATCAACAGCATCTAGAAATCATCTAAGAACTATAAATCGAGGACTACAGACCCTCATTACTCTACTGACAAATATAATCTAAAAATAACTGAAAAATTAAGTCATTCAAGTTCTAAACCCTTTGATCAATAAGCATAGAATCTTAGGGAGATCAAAATTTCATGTTTGCAATCTTATTGAAAGAACATATTGAAAAGACACATTAATCAATTAAGCAAACACTCATTGATCACTTACTATTTACTGAACTCTAAGGGAGTATAAAAGAATTATGAAATAAGGATTTTATATGCTAATCCAGGAAGGGTAATATTTATAGCTGAAATGATTTGTAAAGAATAGAAAATTACAATTACTTACGTGTTGTTAAAATATTATATATGTTCTTCATTAAGAATATACACATATATATGCATGTATGTATATATGCATATATAGTATATGTATGTATGTATGCATGTATGTATGTATTCTCATAAAGACAAAATTATTTACTTTTGCATGGGGGCATTATTGACTTTAATTATCTCTTCTCTAAACAGTACCTAACCTTGAAAGGTCCATTATGGTTGCTGACAACATAAGACTTGCTTCTACTCTCTAGCTGGTTCTTAATAATAACACTTTATATTCATATGGCAATTCACAATTCACAAAGTGCTTTTCTTTACAGGATATGGTGATTTGCATGTGCTTATGTACCTCATAAATCCCTGGAAAAGGGAATGGAAATGGATATCTTGCATCAACAAAGCAGATTAGGCAGGTCCTATGGTTCCATGCCATCCAGCAGGGTTCCCCACACACACTACTATAGTGGACAATAAGTTCCTTTCCTCCCAGTAGTTAATAACCAGAGCAAACAAACAATAGCAGGGTGGTGGCATTTTGCCCCACGTAGTTGAATAGCAGAATATATGAGAGTTAAAATGAAGGCCTACCTTTTTTTCTTGGAATACACAGATAGAGTTCATGTTGGTTGTAGTGTGGGCTAATCATTTACTTACCCATCATTGGGGCTGGGGACTCCAATGAATATGACTTCGTTCCATATATTTTTTTTGGGGAAAAAATGTGTTCCTCATCCATGAATATCATTAAAGATTCTATTAGCAAATTACTCAATTTGTTTCTATCCTCAAAACACACCTTTTCACACAGATTTATGTATAATTATGAAATATGATAAAAAAGAATGTGAAATGTACACAGAGGGCTTGGTTTGTTTCAGGAAAATATGGGTTAAAATCCCATCCCTGACACCTCCATATGCCTCAGACAGGAGTAACTATGTACAAAGTCAAAGACATGTTGTGTTGGCAGAGAAAAACTTTTTATATTAGGGGATTAATGTGTTCTGTGATTGGTTTTGAGATAATTAAGGGACATTGGCAAGGTCTTTTTTTAATTTTAATTGGGGATTTCAATATGCAGATTAATGCCTCCTTAAACATCCTAGGCTCCAGGTCCTAAAAAAGTATTCGAAATCGTAAGTCTTATTCACTGATCTTCCTCCTACCCTTTGCTCCTGCCATAGCGGGCAAGGAAGCAGATGTTTACCTCACCTTCAACTAACAACAGGTTTTACCCATGGAATTGGAGTATGATCAATGGCATGCCAATCACGTGGGAGAAATACTAAATTTGGGGATATTGTTTTGATTTGGTACATTAGATCAACAATAATACCATACCCAGTATAACATAATTTATCACTGGTTTCTGGAAGGCCATTGAGAATGTATATTCCCAGTAAAAGAGGGATGGACTTTGAGATCCAGGTATCTGTGTTGTGACCCTCTAGAACAATGGTGTCAAACTCAAATAGAAATAGGGCCACTAAAGGCCACTAAGCCTTACATAAGGATACCTCTGGTTCACATATTGACTTGCAACACTACAAATTAATACTTTTTATTTTTATTTCAGATTTATTTCTTTTGTTAAATATTTCCCAATTATCTTTTAATCTGGTTTGAGAACAGCCCATGGATATTATGTTGTGAAACCTCTGCTCCAGGATGTAGGTTTCTAATTTGGAGTCCTTGAACATA